TCTAGGTTTTCTTTCTTGTAAAGTTAATCTATTTTTTATTTTACATATTATGAAAATCACTACGGATGTTTAACTAAAAATTAAAATAATTTTCTTTTTTCGTAAAGTTAATTTTCAAAATGTTGACATATTATGAAAATATTACGTTATTTAACTAAAAATTAAAATAATTTTCAATTTTTTTTCGAAAAATTTCAAATTTTCAAAAATGTTTTTTTTTGCGAAAAAAATAAAAATCATAGGCATATTTTTTGGATCGATATATACTACCCCAAAAAATATTTGCTTTTATTTAAGACTCATTCTGTATATTATTATTGATATTATTTTTTATATTATACCGGGTACGTCTCAAAAGTGGCTCACCCCTATAACTTTTTTACTTTTTCAGATAAAACAATGAGACTTGGTATGTTAGTATATGACATAAATTAGGATTTATTGACATAGAATTTTTCATTTTATGTATAAAGTATAATCGAAAAAATACGGCATGAAGTTACCTTAGAAAAGACCAATTAATGGCATTTAATGCATAATTTTACATATTTACGTCATTTCTAAGGTAAATTGCCAACGCATTTTTTATAGTAATCTACGAATAATTTTGTAATATATGTTTCGAGTTGTAGTTTTTACAAATTTACTTTATTTTTATGGTTGGATATAACAAAATCCACTAACTATATTCGCTTTTATTCCATTATAAGAAAAACATTTGATTACTAGACTTTTATGTCTATTATCCACATTTAACATCAACTTACATCTGGTTTCTCATTTAAATTTCAAATGTTGCTAGGTACAGATTTGTTGGTACTATGTGGTACTATCCTAAACATGTATAAAACAAATGTACATACATACATACTACATACAACTCGAACTATAATTTTGAAAACTAAAGAAATTACTTTTATTATAATATAAAATATAGTGAATAAGTTTAATTATTCATTACATATATGTATAATCATTTTCCAATTCGAAAAAGGCGCCTTCTGAATATGCAATTTGATGAAGAATTGATTAATTTTTAACAAATAATTTTTTTAAATATTCTTTATTCTAATATCAGTATAAAAAAAGCGTTTATCAATAGTTTTCAAGTACAAGACGTACAAGTACATGAAGTGTTGCATTACATTATTAAAATTACTTATAAAAATTAATAATTAAAAAAATAATAAAACCTAAAATCATCTTTGTCATATATTTTCGAACGTTTCTGAAAAATTATAGGTTAAAAGATTCTTTTTCTGTTGTTACACTATTCATTACCATATTACATTATATTAATTTTCTTCAATTCTTAAACAAAATCCTTAAATCAAAAAAGAAACAGCAACCTAAAATTATGTTTAATATATGTTCACAGCAGAGCGATTATTCATTTAGGTAGGTGATTCATTTAATCTTTTTTAAAACCTATATTAATTATTAATGCGGCACAAAACAAAAATAATCAAAATGTATAAAAAGCTAAAATATTTTGAAATCTATTAAAATTGTGTACATGGTTAAATGTAATATACCGGGTGCGTCTCAAAAGTGGCTCACTCCTATAACTTTTTTATTTTGTTAGATAAAAACGAGATTTGGTATGTTAGTATATGATATAAATTGGATTGACTAACGTATTCAATTGTTTTCGGTCACTTGTCAAAAGTCATATTCATTTCATGTTTCACCGGAAATGACTACAACTTTTGATTTTTAAATGACACCCCCGGTATTTTTTTACTTTATTCGATAGGGAATGACACTCTGAATCGAATGCTACATATGTCAACTTTGACATTTGACAAAACAAATTGTATTTTAAATTTCAATCTAGAGTGCCATGGCCATGTTAAAAATACTAATTTTTAATCAAGGAGCCTTGGAAAAATGGGTCTGATCTTCTAGTGTTTTTAGTGTCTTGTCCTGACTTGTTAAAAGATGCCCAAACCCTATTTTTAATCATATCTCAATTTTTGCAAATGGAACGAGGGTGGCTCATTAGCATAATTGGAAAAATCATTTTTCTACGAATAATTTGATAACACAAAGTAAAAAAATACCGAGGATGCCATTTAAAAAACAAAAGTTCTAGTCATTTCCGGTAAAACAGGACTGAAAACAATTGAATACGTCAATCAATCCTAATATATGTCATATACTAACATACCAAAGCTCGTTGTTTTATCTGAATAAATAGAGAAGGTATAGGGGTGAGCCACTTTTGAGACGCACCCGGTATAGTAAGAGTCGTTGTTATAAATATCTTAAAAAACTTACTTAAAAAGTTTTGAAATATACGGGATGTTCCATTTAAAAACTGGAATTAACCATCAAAGTTAAAGTTATTTGCCATAATATCTATGCTAGAATCATTGGATATGCATATGACATAGTCATGATCGTTCGATAGAAACATGAAGGTACCCTGTGTGATATTATCCAAAGAGGACTCCGAGGAATCACTGCGAGACTATAGGACTGCCAGGCTGAGCATCAACTCGGACAAAACCGCTGATTCACCAGAATCTAAACTAGATTCAAAATAAATATTACCATCACAGGAAGTTATAGTAAACTCTCTGGACAATAAACTTCTATGAAACATGCATATTAAGACCAATACATAGGGAAGCCACAAAGGCTCTCATGATATGCAGTACACTGACTATTATACCGTATGATAAAAAAAACGGCGTCAGCGATGGCTATGAAATGAAGATCGCTGTCATTTTATATGTAAATTTATGTGGGAAATGTCAGTGATCGTCATTTCCCAGCCAACTAGACGCCGTTTTTTTTATCATACAGTACATTTTTAGTAATTTGAAGGTAGATTTTTGTAAATAACATTTAGAGAAATTCCATTCCGAATTAAACGAAATTCTATGCAAAAGTACAACTTTAACCCCATACAGCACATCAAATCACATTTACGATGTGTTTACATTATTAGATGTAGACACAAGGTGACACAATTCCCCCGATGTAAATATACTACGTTTACACATTGTAGTTCAACACGTATGCACAAAGGTTAAACATCCGCCTCACAATGTAGCCACAGTATAGCATTTACGTATACACAAAGTAAGGGATACACAGTGTGCCGTAGGATACACAGTACTTGTGTATTACGTTTAAACTACGTTTACACATTGCAGTTATGACTACCGCGTGTATACGTATGTATTTTGCTTCGTATATACATCTTGTGCTAGATAAAACTACTTCTTATGAACGAATTTAGGAAATAATACAAGTTTTGATGCCTAACTTTTCGTTCTTTTTAAGAAATATTTATTCAATGATATCAATTATATCTTTTTAGAACGAAAATTAGGAAGGCAAAACTTTGTATTTTCCAAAAGTATCTCGATCGTAAGTTCAAGAGAAGTAGCCTTAAAATTGTTCCATTTTTGTTTTGGATTAATTTTTCTTCCATAAAATGGATTAAGTGGTTAAAAAATAAAATTCTTATATTTCTTTATATCATGGAACGCAATAGCGCAAATAACACAATAATAAAAATTATTTACACTGCAGAAACCAGAAGTAAGAAAACACTGTAAAAGAACAGAATTTGTATCAAAATGTATTAAAAATATAAGTACCTAGTATAACATACTAAAATGGTAAACACTGGTATATCGCCACGATTTGGTGGACCTCGTTTAGTCATTTTTTTCTGCTCTTTTCCCTCCAAGCAGTTGGTTTATTAGCATACTCATTCATCGAGCACTCTGTTGAACTTTGTTGTATTTTATTTCCAGATTAACAATCTCACCCTTAAATTTTATATGAAACTGACTATTGAATATTAAACATATCTGTATATTGATCCATCAATAACTTACCGAATATCAGTGTAAGAAGTTCTTTGAAGTATTTAAATCTTTCTTTCTCTGGTCCATTTAGATTTTTATTATTTCCAAATTAAAAAAATTTATATTGCAGAGCTAACTCAGCTAACCTCTTCATCATTAAACAAGAATATTTGGAGTTTTCATTCATTGGAGTCAAAATTTGGTAAATTGGGTATCGAGTAAGGGAAGAGTCGCTGCTATAATATTAATAATACTCTTAGGAAGGTGTAACAAAGTAATTAAAAATGTGTACTGACCTTAAAATCTCTTTTAAACTACACACAAACAGAACATTTATATAGAGCTTCCGAATGATAAAACAATAATGGCTGCTAACACATACCACTCCTAGAAAGGAGAAAGGAAAGAGGACACATAAGAGCTTTGTTCGAGTTCTTGTCATTACCGATTCTGAACCGTCCTAGAACCCTGCAGCGCATGCGCAAATGAAATAATTTCTTCATATTTCCTTCTGCGCATGCGTATCACAGTTCTAGGACGGCTCAGAATCGGTAATAAGAAAAACCCGAAGTAAGCTAAGATACACTTGGTCGGTGTGTCTACGCTGAGGCTATCCGCACATGCGCACACCTTCATTTCATGCTAGAATGTAGACACAACAGTACACTATTACAAAGTGTCTATATAGATATTTATATTATGTGTATACGTCACATTTTTACAAGGTGTGTACTATAGGCACAACTATGATACGAAGTATCACACATACATATGACTTATACATTGTATGTCTCATATACCGACGTCAGATTTCATCATTTTAATAATTATTTGTTACGTTACAAAAAACTCTTTAGAATCTTGAGTGCATACGGTATACAACTAGTAAACACTGTATCGCACAATTCTATTAATATAAACCTGCGTGTATCTCATATGTATATGTTAGAACTAGATGAACACACAGGTTCACATTAACACGACTCTTCAAAAAAGTCTAAAATAATTTTTGCATAAAATCATCTGGAGAGATAATATTTGACTTTTTAAAAATTTACATTGGATTTCCTATGTCCCGTGTTCCGATACACCACAAGGTTAGCCATCCAAATGTACATAATTGGTTGAATTCAGTTAATTACTGATTTATTAATATATTTGTTTTCTTTTCAGAGGTACTTCTACAGATGGAAGTGGTTGGAATATGTGGATCCGATGTCCATTATCTAGTCAATGGAAGAATTGGTCCGTTTGTCGTTGAGAAACCCATGATAATAGGTAAAGAAAGTTCAAATCGAATGTGATAATATTGTAAATTGCGCAAATTAACGAAAGCTAAACATATTTGACAAATAATTTTACTGATATCAAAAAATAAATAATTTATTGTGGAATAATTTGGAAAAAATATTATGAGTTATACTTTAAGGCAAAATATTAATAATTTAATTTTAATTAATTAACTTAAATTCCTTTTTAAATTATCATATACTGTATAATTTTTATTTCTCAATATTATTTTATTAGTAAATATTTGATGGAATAAAATAAGATAAAAATTAGTTATAGAAATGTAATCAAATAGCTTTGTTGACGTAATGTTTATGGGTGATTTTGAAAGTTATTTATCTTTTTTTGTTTATTTCTCTTATACATACTTTTATGTATTTGAATTTTATATACCCTAATTTGTTTTAAATCTCTCTAATAATATACCTACTAAAATCACATCACAATAAGGAGTTTTTTGTAATTCTTACTTCGTTCGTTAGATTTATTAATATTTTACTACTATTCCTTTTAGGTCATGAAGCATCTGGTACAGTTATCAAAGTTGGAAAAAACGTCAAACATCTTCAACCTGGTAAGTCTAACATTTAAGTTAACTAAGTCAATGAACACCGAACGAATAAAACTAAAATTTACCTTATTTTAAAATACTTGGGCAAAATAGAGCACTATTTATTTTGCTGTTGTAACACCAAAGGTTCCAACACCAACAATAATATTTAAATACTTATTCAAAATACCATACGATCGAAAAAAAACAGCGTCAAAGACGTCTTGGAAATGACAATCGATGATAATCTTGGCGAGGTCAAGCCATAGACGTCATTTACTTGATCCATACTCTTCTTTATGGCGCTTTCTGCCAGTTGCCTTAAGTAAGTTGATTTTTTTCTTCTACGTTGGGTAGAGTTTAATTGAAGCACATATCTAAGATTTTTAGTAAAATAGTAAAAATATGTAGGTTTACGTTGTATTTGAAAAATTTATGGCGAATGACACTTTTTTCTATCATAAGTTATTCTTTCACTAAACGGGAGTAATAATCACTAACTTACTAGTAAAATTGAACTTAGGTGTATGGTTAGAAGAATTAATTTTCTATATTGCACAGAGATTACAGTTGAGGGTTGGAACCTTTGGTATACCACCGGATACACCATAGCCGTAGGAAAAACATTTATCAAAAGTATAAATATCGCTTCAAGGCGGCTATGTTAAGAAAAATATGTACCACGCCACTGTTTGGAAGAATGGTCACAAATGGGTCACAATTTGGTCTCGTGTGCTATTTGTCCTTGAATTCTTAAGTCATTGATCGCTTAGGATGAATAAACTTAACTGAGAAAGAGAAGAAGAAGAAATACGTTCAAATATTATGATTAATATGCATGTAATTGTTAAATATATATAATAATATATAAACCCAAAAATATACAAACAAATTCAAAATTTTATAGATAATACTAAGAGGAACATTAGGATACAATAAATGAGACAAAGCATATTTAATTATAATTACATTAAAAATTATGAGTCAGTTTGAACATGTTTGTGTCAAAAGTTATTGAACGCTCTCTCTAGACTTCACCATTTTAAAATTAACTAATAATATAATGATTTATTTTACAGGTGACAAAGTAGCTATTGAACCTGGCGTACCTTGTAGAGTGTGTAATTATTGTAAGCTTGGAAGCTACAACTTATGCGCTGATATCTTCTTCTGTGCTACACCACCAGATGATGGAAACTTATCCAGATACTATGTTCACGCAGCTGATTTTTGTTACAAGTACGTTTCAGTTCAGATTTCGAAACTTTTATAAATCTTCACAATTACGTCTCAGACAATTTCTATAACGTATCGATTTTTTTATATCCAACAATCCAACACACTTTTGAATCACATTGAAAAAGGATATTTTTATTTTAATTGGTGATGGTATTTCACCAATTTAAGCAACGACGCAATTCATTTAAAATCATAAAAATAAACGATAATTTAGACACACATGCACTATCACTACTCCATATCACACCACAAAAGCAAAAATTTCATGGAACGAATGGCCACAATCAAATAATAATTTAAATGTGCTGAAGCTATATTTAAGAAACTGATTGACCATCTGGTTGTGCCCGAAATAATAAACTAGTTTGTTGTTGACTAGACAACCGGATTCGGTTCATTAATTGAAGTTGAATGAATGCAAATTGAATTTTTTTATTTATGATACGTGTCGCCAGAATACTTAAATTTTAAATTCATTGATATTAAAATAGATTGTTATTTTTTTTAAATACGCACATAAATAAAAATAGATCGGCTATAAGACAAATTTTTATGTTGTGTATTTTAAGGGGTGGTAGATCTCGATAAAAGAAACATATTTTCTCTTTATCGTTTTTCAAATAATTTCAAAATAACGGAGTTATTTTACTTTGAAAATTTCCAAAAAAATAATATTTTGCTCAAATTTTGAGAACCACTGGATCTTTTCTGGATTTTCTTCTTTGATTTTTTTGATTGTTTTTTACTAAAAGCTAAAAAAATACCAAAAAAATTTTCAAAAAATTCTGAATTTTTAAAAAAGTTTTTTTCTCGAAAAATACCTCATAGGCGTGTTTCTGGGGTTGAACTATACTACCAGTTAAAATACTTGCACTTATTTCTGGGACACCTTGTGTATGTATGTACATCACTTACACCACAGATAGTAGAAAATAAAGTTACTACCGTATGATCGAAAAAAAAAACGGGGCCAGCGATGGCTATGATATGAAGATCGCTGTTATTTTATATGTAAATACATGTTTTTTTTTTATATGAAATGTCATCGATTGTCATTTCCAAGCCAACTGGACGCCGTTTTTTTCGATCATAATGTATAATTCACAAAAAATAATAAGTATAAGAAATATATGCGTAGAAATTGTTCATGATGAATTTCAGAATTAAAATAATTGTAAGATATTTGAAGAAAATATATTTTGAGCAGGGTTGGCATGATTTAAATCAAGTGATTTTTTTAATTTGAATCATGTGATTGAATCAAATAAAAAAATCAACTTTTTTAAAACTTTACAGTAAATCGAAAAATCACTATAAAAATTATAAAAATGTGTCCTAGAAAACTATAAAAATAGTTCTATAACATATATACCCTATATCTATTCGTTAAATAAAATGTTACACTTGCTATTGTAACGTTTAAATGCGTTTAATAAATCGAAAAAAAATTGTAAATGTTATAAAACTATATAAAAATGATTTGTATAACACATATTCCTATTACATATATATTCATCAATTAAAATGTTGGACCGATTTTTGAAATAATTTCGTGTAAATCCATTAGACTTCTAAAGGGCAGGGATTTATTTTGAAATTTATGTACAAGTGACAAAAAAATGCTGTTCGAATAGATTTCATTCGCAACCTCTAGTGCAGAAAAAGGTTCTTTTGATGTTAGACTATATCTTCAAATCGTTGTCAGTCTTTTTATTTTACACTTTGACAATAGATAATACTAATTTCATTCTCGACTTAAGACTATTTCCGAACAATAATGTATTGTGTAAGGAGTAAAAATTATACTTTTTTTGACGAGGTTGTACTTTTGACGGACTAGCGTAAACAGGGACGCACAAAAATACATTTTTACTCCGAGTAGAATATACTATATTTTTACAAATTAAACATTACAAATAATTTTTTAATAAATTTCAAACGTTGCAAATAATATAAAAAGTAATGCTTTGTAAGTAATCGAGTAACAATTTGTACACTCGTTGAAATTGACGCTTAATATCAGTTTAATAATATATTTTGGTACTTTTGTGCTTAGGCGTAAAAGTGATGATTCAAAAAAATTCTTTTGATCTGAAGCGAGCGACTTTTTTGCAGAATATATTGGTGACCGATGTCTGGGAAAATGACACGCGCCGTAGAATTGTTAATGTTGTCAGTATTGGGCAGAGTTATGACGATTTAGCCATTTAGGATAAGAATTTAATGGGAATTAAGTCCTAATTATTTGGAAATCCGATTTAAATAATGTTTTCTATTAAAATCAAAAAAATCTGATTTAAATCAAAAAAATCTGATTTTTTTTATTTTTTTAAAAAAGCATGATTTTTTCCAACCCTGATTTTGAGCATAAGTTTTAAGTCCGCGGATAACTTATATCGGCATCGTCGTTGGAAACATATGAAATCGCATGCAAATTTTGAACTTGAAATTTTGAAAATTTGAAATCGCATGCAGAATTTGTCCAGATATTGGGTCCCCTGTTAATTTAAACCGTAGTTGTAAATAAGTTTTTAAAAGGTCTGCGTATGCTGAATACACATGCCAAATTTGAACAATTTTGGACAAGTCGATTTTATGTAATTTAAGAAAAATTGCATCTATTTTTAAATTAAAACTGAACAGGTAACAATGCAAAACCAGGTAAATGCCACCGTATTGTGATCCTATATTTTTTTCAATGTCAAATTGTATTTTCTAAACGTTAGGTTTTTGCCTCATTCGAACCAGTTTTAAATTACAAAAATTGGGGATTTTCATTTCAGAATCTCTAAGCGTAGATATTATAACATAGTAGTGTAGATAACACAACAAATTACATTTGACAAAGATAAAATCATAGGTTGACGACTCACTTTATATTGTATGATGATATTTGACTGGACTGGTTTTGCATTGTTACCTGTTCAGTTTTAATTTAAAAAATTTAAAAATGATGCTGTTTTTCTTAAACTACTTAAAATCCGCTATTCCAAAAGTGTTCAAATTTGGCATGTGTATTCAGCATAAGCAGACTTTAAAAAACCTATTTACGACTTACCTGTAAAATGAATAGGGGATCCAATATTGATACAGTTCCAAATTTGTATGGGATTTCCTATTTCCAAAGACGATGCACCACCACCTGGTATATATTGATTTGTTTTTCCTCAGATTGCCTCCAAATATGGACTTGGAAGACGGTGCTCTTATGGAACCTCTTTCAGTTGGTGTTCACGCAACTAAGAGAGGTAAGGTTCAAGTTGGAGACGTAGTTCTTATATTGGGAGCTGGACCTATTGGACTAGTAACACTCCTTTCCGCAAAAGCCATGGGAGCTTCAAAAATCATCATTACAGGTAATCAATCTTCCGACAAGAATCAAAAATTTTAAAATGTTCTTGTTTAAACTATCTGTGTCGCTACTACACAAAGCTTATTAAAACTTATAATATCTTAAAATCTTCCAAATGTATGTTTAATTATTTTATTCTATCAGATATCTTGGACATCAAACTACAAAAAGCCAAAGAATTGGGCGCACATTATACAATCAAAGTTGAAAGAGGATGGCAAGAAGATGATATTGTTGAAAAGATTAAGACACTTCTCGGAGAAGAACCCAACAAAACATTTGATTGTTCCGGAATTGAGCAAAACATCCGAATTGCACTTAAGGTAATAATTGTCTTCTCTAATATTAAGCGTTATTTATATATAGATCATACCAAATAAACTTTTAGTCACGTGATTAATATGGCAAATTGACATTATTTTACAGCAGAGCTATCATCCTAATCACTAGCGGAAAATTTAAATTCCAGTTAGTCAGCCCGGCGTCGAATATGTACATGGTTGGCAACAATGAATTTGATATTCGCACCGATGACGTAACTAAAAATTTATTTGGTATCGAATATGTATCTCATTGCTAGTGAAATAGAATACCCATTTAATTTGATATGGTTAATAAGTTAATCAACGACAATGTCATTTGGATGTCATTATGGCTTTCATAATAGCACTAGTGGCACTATTTCCATTTCTGTACCCCACAAAAAATCGAGTATGCTCTGTGTTGCGTCGACTAATATTGCCCATATTAGTATCATAGTATATGGGCACCTGATAATTTTGAATTTTAATTTTTGTGAGGATGCCTCTGATATTTTAAATTAAATCAAATCTCTTTGGATCGTTCCTCGTGTCGCTTCGTAGATTAAATTTTGAATGATACACGTTCGATACGAACTTTTTAATGAAACTTGTGTAACTAAGCCACTCGGCTAACGCCTCGTGGCTTAACGTTACACGCGTTTCATTATGATGTTCGTATCGAACTTGTATCATTAAATTCATTAATAACTATTATGAAACTTAATCTTCAAAACAGAGATTCTCTGATAATGCTATCTTAGTTTACAAAGTATAGGTAATAACAATTTAAATATAATGAATACGTTGGCAAAAAGTTCAATCTGTTCAACGAGAGGATACATGGCAGTGAGAGTTGTGTCTGTCATTTTAATTCACAACTAAATTATCTTTTCTGTAATTTTTTGTATGTCGTCTGTCAAAATCTTCCCTGGCTAGTTTAGATAGATCAGACTTTACCGCAAGTTACTCATTTAAAATATTATTAAAATTTTCTATCAAAATAAGCTATAGTCAAAGAGTAGATAAAACAAGAGACGACAGTGAACAAAGAAGTCGAATTTCACGAGAGAGACGCAGATATATTAAAATTTAAAGGTCCCATCAAGTCCCATTTTGTCTGTTGCCAAGTATATTTCTTTGAAAAATAAACAAGATTTTCTGAAAATAAATTAATCATATAAGAAGGATATAAGTAACGTATGTTAATACGGAAATGTAAATTTTTAGTTTAGGTTGGTTTAGGTTCTTTTTTCGCAATGTACTGATAATATCAAAGAAACAGAATGACTAAGTTGATCGATTTTAAAGATAAACAGATAAAATCTCAAAATCTGACAACGGCGTATTTTATTTAATCTAACCTATGATTTTAGGACGCTAATCAGCTGTGCTAATCAGGCCTAAACATAAACAAAACTGATTAGTTGTTTAAAGATAAACAGATAAAATCTCAAAATCTGACAACGGCGTATTTTATTTAATCTAACCTATGATTTTAGGACGCTAATCAGCTGTGCTAATCAGGCCTAAACATAAACAAAACTGATTAGTTGTTTTCTTGCATTTTTGCCTTTTTAAAGTGTGTTTTCAGAGTTTTCGTTTTTGTTGCGTACTAATTTGTAAATATTGTTAAATATGAATACTGAACAGGACACGAGTAGCAGGAAAAGACGAGATGGTGGCAATGTGTGTGTTTATAAAGACTGCAAAAATAGGTATTATTCTTCGACAAACATAATATTTCACTTTTTTCCAAAGGATCCTGAAAAGTATTTTTATAGAAATATACTATATAATTATGTTATTAAACTAAATGTAATCCATAGATCTAAGACATGGTTAGAAGCTTGTAATATATTTTTACAAAAAAAATTGAGCAACTCTATTTTTTTGTACATAAACTCCACATTGTGATTTTACACTTGTTCAAGTCCATATGTAAAAAAAATACACGTAAATAAAACATTTCTTACAAATCGACTTGGTCACTTTATCTTGTTTACCAACGATATACAAAATATTGCTTTTATTATCTTTATTCTCTGACAAATATGTTTCTAATTATAATTTATTTTATATAATATTCAGAAAACTCATTTTTTTTTCGTTTCTATTTATTTCTTTACCCATACAGTAACTATTTATAAGCTATACAGGCAAGTTTTAATAAGAGTCTATTTCAAATTTCCCGCGAAAATATTACGAAAATTTAAAGGGACAAGCAAGACGAGGTCACTCTCCCCGCCACTCAAACATGAAAGGTACCGCACGAACTGTCGTCTCTTGTCTTATCTACTCTTTGCTATAGTAAACGCCACGAATGTTTGGGAGTGATTCATCGGTCGTGGTCGCTACCATGTGAACTAATCTGTTCAAGGTCACATAAAACTTAATTCCAGTGCCGTGGTGTTTCAAGTCATATAATAATCAATATATATAATCTGTTGTAATTTGTTGTTTTAAACATATATTTGGTTATAAATATAAACTGGGATGCCCCATTGGTTGCGCTGCAAGCACACCAATGGACTGACGCACAAAAACGAACCAATCAAAGAAACGCGATATAGTATCGTCTTTGTCAATCACGCTAACATTTTAGAATAAGTAGGAGGAGCGCAGGCAGATGATTAGACCGGGCCTTTAAAAACCTACGTCTGCTGTTCAAATTTACGTTTTTAATGTAAAAATGATAGCGCGCGTGTCGATTCTAACTTCATAAAGCGATGAATCACTCCCAAACATTCGTGGCGTTTACTATAGTTTGTTATGGTGCAGATTTGCAACATTTGTATTAATTTTATATTAAAGATATTTTTTATTTACTGAACATGTTAGAACGTGTGTAAATTAAATATTAGAAACCTTTGTTAAACAGTCATTATGTCATTATAATAATATATCATTCTCTTTATTTTAGGTTACAAAAAGTAAAGGAGTGGTAGTATTAGTGGGAATGGGTCAATTTGAACAAAAATTGCCCCTAGCTGCCGCCATCTTCAGAGAAGTTGATATTAGAGGCGTATTTAGATATTGCAATGAGTAAGTTCTTTGTTTAAGATAATATTTCTATAATCTAATTACTTATACTCAATTTAGCTATCCTACGGCTATCGACATGGTGGCATCTGGAAAAATTAGCGTCAAACCTCTGATCACTCATCACTATCGTATTGAGGATTCCCTTAAAGCATTCCATACAGCTAAAACTCAAGAAGGAAACCCAATTAAAATTTTAATCCACGCAAATCCCAACTGGAAACCAAGTTAAAATATTTTTAACTGTGTATTTATACGAAAGCATGTACAAAGTAATTTTATAATAAATTCCAATTTATATTATTCTTAAAGTAGAATGTCTGTACATATAAAATGCGTTTTGTATTTGTTCTATGGATACAGATTTGAAGTTTATATGTATATTATTACATGTTAGAATAGAAAAAAATAGATGAGAATAAGTGTATATGTTTTTGTTTTATTTCGTTTGGAATTTAAAAATGTAATATTACCTAATGTTTTATGCAGAAACCATCTAATAAATAAAAATATTTTAGGCAATTGTTCCCAGCTATACAAGGTCTCTTAAATTATGAGACACCCTATATATAAGTTGCAGAAAAGCCTAAGCATACTATAAAACGCTGGAATTTTAAACAAAAGGGGAAAATATTACTTAGTAGATATATTTAATATGCCTAATTCTGATTAAACATTTTGCAAAGCGACTGAAAACAGATTAGATGTTATGCTATTTTTCAATTTTGAAAATATCAAAAGTTGGCATATATCATTCTATTATATCAAATAAAATAAAAAAAATTCGGAAAGTACCATAGTAATATACAAGAGTTATAGTAATTTCCGGTAAAACAGGAGGCCAACACGAAGCTAATTGAATGCCGGCAAACAATCCTGATTTATGTCATATACTAACATACCAAATCCCGTTTTTTATCTGAATAAATAAAAACAATTATAGGAGTAAGCTACTTTTTAAAAACACCCGGTATATACAACAACATAGATATACAGTATTGTCCGGGGTGTCCAATTTTGGTTGAAAAATAGAGTTTATATATTTTCGAGAAACTCATAGCAGGCCAGATCATATAATTTATAAATTAACAGGATGTTCCATTTGAGAAAACATAACTTTAGTTCATATCTTCAAGAATATTTTTTTAGTAAAAAATCAAACTACGCCACTGTATTCTATGTAAAAAGTTCTACAATAGACAGTTTTTACCTTCTCAATAACTTTCGCGGTAACAAAGACACTGGGGATGTCCCAAATTGCAAAATTTTCAAAAAAACCCTTCAAGCTCAGAAACGAAGAAGGCTAGGAAAATTTTGTTTACGGCATCTTTTATTTGATAAAATGTAAAAAGGTCTGTTCAAACCGCATCCTCCTATCTTCATTAATAACGAAGATACCGTATGATTTCAACCAAAATGGGACACCCTGTACATTGAAATTATAAATCATATTTTACAACTATTATGACGAAATCTTTTTGTAGGAGATTAAATTTGTTTTTGACTGTTGAATTTCTATTTATATTGTTTAATTTTCATAATATTTTAATTAGTTTTATATCTGTGTATCCAAATACCCAACTTTTTTTCCTGAGACACTATACAGGGGGAGTCTTAAATAGGTGCAAATATTTTTAGGGGTAGTATATTTCGACCTCGGGATCAAAACACGTCTATGAGGTTTTTTTTCGCGGAAAAAATATTTTGAAAATTTGGATTTTTGAAATTGGAAAATTTTTTTAGATTTTTTTTTTAATTTTTAGATAAAAAACATAATATAATCTTCATAATATGGCAACATAGGTAGTAGATTAAATTTACAAGAAAGAAACCCCAGAAAAGATCCAGCGGCAGCGATTGTCTAAATTTAAGCGAAAATATATTTTTTTAATTTTCAATGAAGAGAAAATAAGTTTATTTCATCGAGATATACGAGCCCTGAAAATATTTGCACTTATTTAAAACTCCCTCTGTATATTTCTCAAAGAAATTAAATATTATCTACGAAAAATTATTATTAAAAATAATATAATAAATTAATATTTTATTATTATTTTATTATTGAAATTTTATTCATCACAAGATATCGATATAAAAAATGCTAAACATATTTATTTTCATCTCCTTATAATTTTGCTAACTTTAAATTTGCTTCTGCGCCAGCGCCGGATATTGATTTGATCTCCCGACTTTGAACTCCCAGAAGCCTATCCAAATATTTTTTGAAATATTTATATTTTGTACAAGACGTAAATCTAAGCTTTAAAACTTCTTATGTCGACTGTATAATTAGCTACATAATATTCAAAAAAATTAGAATTATTTCTAATCTAAAAATTGACGTTCTACTCTATTGCTTTATTGCTCAGTTTGATTTTTGGTCCAGCGCATCCTCACCCGCCTCTGTATGAACAGTTGCCTGGGCGTAAACAAATAGAGCGGACATTTCCATTTTCTAATATAAAACACCATGATTTTGTTAAAAATTGCTTTAATAAGCTTCTTTCTAAATTATTGTTATGATAATTATTCTAACTAGATATTAATGACTCATTTATCATAATGTTAATATATTTGTGTATTATACATTTATGTATAGTATACATAAACATTTTAGGTACAAATAATATGTTCTTCCTACGTATATGAAAATTATAATTATTAGTATACAACTATTATAACGAATTATTTTTCTATATATTCGAATCTGTGCATGCACATTATGTTATTATTTTAGAAAAAATATTAATTAAAAAAAATAAATTAAAGAAGTTCGTTAGAATATTCTTAGTTATCCATTTATTTTTCTTTTATTTTTATTCTTCAATAACATATTTAGTAAAAATGATAAAATACAATTATTATCAATTATAACATAGTTAATATTAATAGATATTAATAATATATTATTTTATAATAATAACATATAAAAAAACTTTGCGTTGAATAAAACATAGAAAAAATAATAAAAACATAAGAGTAACTAAAAAACTTAAAGTAAATTATTATACCGGGAGCACTTCTCAAAAGTGGCTCACCTCTATAACTTTTTTATTTTTTCAGATAAAAAAACGAAATTTGGTATGTTAGTTTATGACATAAATTAGGATTGATTGATGTATTCAATTGTTTTTGATCACTTCCTGTTTCACCGGAAATGACTACAACTTTTGATTTTGAAATGGCACCCTCGGTATTTTTTTTACTTTATTCGGTAGAAAGTGACATTCTGAATAGAATGACATACCATATGTCAACTTTTGACATTCTCGCTTAAAACAAAATTGAATTTTAAAATTCAATCTAGAGTGCAAAGGTTATGTTAAAAACACTAATTATTAATCAAGGAGCCTTGGAAAAATAGATTTGACCGTCTAATGTTTTTAGTGTCTTGTCCTGGCCAGTTAGAAAATGCTCAAATCGTATTTTTAAAAATATATCAATTTTTTCAAATGGAACGAGGGTGGCTCATTAGCATATTTGGAAAAAGCATTTTTTTACGAATAATTTGGTACCACACACTTGGTATTTCGAGCCAAATTTTCGTTACTAACCGCAAGTTATAATTTCAAATAAATCATATACGAAAATGTCAAAAGTTGACATATGATAAGTCATTCTATTCAGAGTATTATTTTCTATCGAATAAAGTAAAAAAATACCGAAGGTGCCATTTAAAAATCAAGTTGCAGTCATTTCCGGTGAAACAGGAAGTGACCGAAAACAGTTGAATACCTCAATCAATCCTAATTTATGTCATATACTAACATACCAAATCTCGTTTTTTTAACTGTAAAAATAAAAGAGTTATAGGGGTGAGCCACTTTTGAGACGCACCCGGTATACTAGTTCAAGCTTGGCGCATCCGCCACGACATCATCATTTTTTTAATTAAATGAAAAACAAAAAATCCGGCGACGACAGTTTTTAGAAGAGCCAATTAGCTATCTTTTAGTAAAAAAAGCAACTTTCTAGAGCCAGTCGTTACTTCAGTAGAGACGACACAGATAAACATTAGCATTTTATATATGTAGATTTTTAACGATTAGAAAAAAATAATATTAGTATTAAATACCCGTATTATCAAAGAAAAAAAACGGCGTTAAGTTACCTTAGAAATGACGATCGAAATAACACCGATAGTTATTTCTAAGATAACTTTCTAAGATGATGTTTTTTTATCATACAGCATACTACACTGTATGCTGTCTGTACTCGTATACATACACCCAAGATACGTAATCGTTACAGTTCTACTAAACATTACTACCATATTAACCCCCGGTGTTTTCAGGTACGGATAGCGTGTTATAATCTGCCAGATATATTTTATTTGACGGATAGCAGAAAAACGCGTATCTTCACCTATAGATAACAGTATCTATTAGATAAATTAAACTTATCTCTCAGATATCCTATCTGGCGCCCCAACTGCCAAATAGTGCTTTATTTGTCGGTAGATGTATTAAATAGTCCTTATACTACTAAATTATAAGTCGGATACTGTTTAATAAGGATAAGTTCTTTACAATATGACAACACCGATTAGAGGCGAGGGAGCCTATTCATTCATTTTTATTACCTTGTAGTACGTGTCGCACGTGTGCGGTAAAGCTTTGTTGCCGCTATCTCCCCGGCTGTATTAACGCATTTTCTTAGCTTGTAGTCCTTAATGTTTATTTTATTGACTTTTCTGTTCAAAAACTATAAAATATGGTTCGCCAGTGCCAAATTTTGAAGAAATTTGACTTAAATAATCCATTTAAGTCTTGAAACGACTTTTTGACCGGTAGGCAACTCTCAATTTACCCATTGGGAGTCAGTGGCGTTGTTGTAGAAAGGCGCTTATTTAGATAATATTTTAGTAAAATGTAAAATCTGAATTTTTCTTTTACATTACATTATTTACTTACTTACATTGTAAATAAAAATCATAATTATAACCCTGTTAATAATTAATAATGTTTTTATTAAAAATATATTCCGGTTTATTCTAAAAATTATCTTCAGAATCTAAAATAACATACAAGAATTTTAAAATGATATTACATTATGAAACAATATTTTTTAATATATTAAGTCAAATTAAAGTGGCTCACCCCTATAACTTTTTTTATTTTTCAGATAAAAACAGATTTGTACAGTAGGTATATGACATAAATTAGGATTGATTGACGTATTCAATTGTTTTTTGGTCTCTTCCTGTTTCACCGAAATGATTACATCTTTTGATTTTTAAAGGCACCCTCGGTATATTGCTACTTTATTCGATAAAAAATGACACTCTGAATAGAATGACATATCATATGTCAACTTTTGACATTGTCGCTTAAAACATATCCTATTTTAAATGTCAATCCAGTTTTTTTCAATCCACTAAGTTTTAATCAAGGAGCCTTGGAAAAATAGTTTTGATCGTCTAATAGGTTTCGTGTCTTGTCTAGGCCCGTTAAAAGATGTACAAATCATATTTTTAATCATACATATGTCAATTTTTTCAAATGGAACAAGGGTGACTCATTAGCATATTTGGAAAAAGCATTTTTTTATGAATATATTGATACCACACACTTGGTATTTCGAGTCAAATTGTCGTTATGAACCGCGTGTTACAATTACAATTAAACCATATGCGAAAATGTCAAAAGTTGACATATGATATTTCATTCTATTCAGAGTGTCATTTTCTATCGAATAAAGTAGAAATATACCGAGGGTGCCGTTTAAAAATTAAAAGTTATAGTCATTTCCGGTGACACAGGAAGTGACCAAAAACAATTGAATGCGTCAATCAATCCTAATTTATTTCATATACTAACATACTAAATCTTGTTTTTTTATTTGAAAATATAAAAAAATTATGGGGATGAGCCACTTTTGAGCCGCACCCGGTATAATAAAGACAGTACCGAGTTAAATAAATGTAGTTTTTATTTTATCCACTTCCTATCACCTTCCTTGCTTTAATGGAACAGATTTATGTTTTCTCTAATTTACATAATAAGACATCACTTAACTAGAAAAAAAATTACAACAATCATTTTTTTTTCTCTCCCTGTCGCCGATTCTATTATATCTGTGGAATAGATCCGGTTTTGATTAATATTAGGGGTTGTAAATGTTTGACTAAAATTAATAATTTATTATTAATTTCAAAAATTACGTAATTTCGATTATAAAATTTCTTCTATAACGTGTATTTTATTATGTTTATCCTTTTCGGACTCTAAGACGTTTTTTCTAAACTTTTATGTAAAAAACCTGTCCTAAATCTTAATAAAATATAAAAACGTTTAAATACGATATATTTTTAATTTACTTATAGCTTCATTAAAATAAAAAAATTACCCGGCTATGATACGGAGAGTTCAGGTGTACTTGAGAAACGAAAGACAGTGTTGTGTTTCTCGGCAGAGTCGTCAGGGAACGACCGTTACGACAGAGACAACCTATCTATCGCTCGTGTCGCACCCGTTATAACCTAAAACAATAACACAACAATAACAAGACAGTGTCTGACCGCATGTTCCAGCTATTTATGAATGAGATGCTCAGTCTAATGCATACACCCAAGATACGTAATGGTTACAGTTCTACTAAACATTACTACCATATTAAGTATAACTTAGTTATCTGTGATGAAAAAAAAACTGTAAAACAAAAAAAACAAAAACAATGTTCATAAAAAATAAAATACTAAATGAAAAATAAAAAATGTATACCGGGTGCATCTCAAAAGTGGCTAACCCCTATAACTTTTTTATTTTTTCAGATAAAACAACGAGATTTGTTATATTAGAATATGACATAAATTGGGATTGATTGACGTATTCAATTCCTTTCGGTCACTTCCGGTTTCACCGGAAATGACTACAACTCTTGATTTTTTAATGGCGCCCTCGGTATTTTTTTACTTTATTCGATTGAAAATGACACTCTGAATAGAATGACATATCATATGTCAACTTTTGACCTTTTCTCATACGGTTCATTTGTATCGGTACCAAATTATTCTTAAAAAATGCTTTTTCCAAGTATGCTAATGAGCCGCCCTTGTTCTATTTGAAAACATTGAGATATGATTAAACATATTATTTGGGCAAATCACGATCAAACCTATTTTTCCAAGGCTCCTTGATTAAAAATTAGTGTTTTTAATTTAGCCATTGCACTCTAGATTGAATTTTAAAATACGATTTCTTTTATGCGAAAATGTCAAAAGTTGACATATGATATGTCATTCTATTCAAAATGTCATTTTCTATCAAACGAAGTAAAAAAAATACCAAGTAAAAGTCATTTCCGGTGGAACAGAAAGCGACCGAAAAGAATTGAATATGTCAATCAACCCTAATTTATGTCATATATGCTAACATACCAAATCTCGTTTTTTTATCTGAAAAGATAAAAGTTATAGGGTGAGCCACTTTGAGACGCACCCGGTATTATTTAGGTATTATTTAAGCTATTGTCTATATTTTAGCAAGCTTATAGCAATAATTTTCATAACCAACAATTTTCTACGCAAATTGACCGTATTGATAGACATTTGGCAAACTAAAAATCTCCCTTTAAAGGTAGTTTTTGGGTGGTTAATGACAGGGGCGCATATACGGGTGCGGTAACCCTACCAGGAAGGATATTTAAATAAGATTAAATGTGATATAAAATATAATTCGTTTAAAATTGTCACACAAGGAATTAATAAAACCAATTAAAATTGAATATCCAGACCAGTCCAAGTTTTTTTTTACTACAGACACACTTTTTTTTCAGCGAAAATTTATTTTTAATTTTGTACTTTATTTAAATATTGCCACTACCCCTCCCAGACTAAATCTTTAAACGTGCTGAGCTACCATTTTAGTACCATTTTATTCCACAAGCACTATACAGCGTGAGTCTTAAGTAAGTGCAAATATTTTAGGGGTAGTATCTTTCGACCCCAGAAACACGATTATGAGGTTTTTCATGAATAAAAATTTCGAAAATTGGGAATAAAATTCCAAATTTTTTGGAATTGTTTGTTTTTCGTTAAAAACATTATTTCTTGATAATATTGCAACATAGGTAGTAGATTAAATTTACAAGAAAGAAAATCCAAAAATGATCTCAAAATTTAAGCAAAAATAATTTTAAAAAATGTCTATACCTATGTGGCGGATTCATCTTTCCAAAAAAATCCTTTATGGGTATTTCGCCACTGCACTGCAAGAAAAAAAAACGGCAAAGAGAAAATATGTTTCTTTTATCGAGATCTACCAGACCTTAAAATATTTGCAATTATTTAAGACTCACCCCGTATAGTTAAAACTTTCCTGAACTACGATTTTATTTCAAAAAAGCATTACTGAAATAAACTATTTATGTATAATTTCTCGTTTTTTTTATTCATAATAGTTTAGGAACTAATTCATTAATAGTAGATTTATCCCCCTGGCGCCAAAACGTCTAGTTACGCCACTGACCGTTCTTAAAAACCGATAATAAGCGTTAAGCATCGGTATCAATGATACGCCAGCATTTACACATATCACAAAACTTATAAATAGAAAGAAGCAGTACCGGAGAACACAAGTTTTGCGGTACGACCAAGTTCAACAACAACCACGAACCATGGCACCAAACGATAACCTCACAGCTGTGCTCTACGGAATTAACGATTTACGACTGGTGAGTATCTGTAGATTGTTGTATCTATATAGTTATTTGTTTATTGATAACGGCTGTCACTTCTGGCGAATATCTGGGAAAAATGTATCTTAGAAAAGATTACGGGTCGTTGTTCGTTGGCTTCGTTCAAAAATAAACAACAAAATGTTCATCTTAATAATATCTATTATCTATTGTATATTTTACCTAGGTAATTTATGATAATGCGTTCTATAGGTGTAGGTAGCCTACTCAATTTTAGACTAAAATTGTAAACAAATATCTATTAAGTTGGACAATTGTTATTTTTTATATTAAATAAGTTTTGCAATTTTTATTACAGTTGTATACGTTTAAAAAAATAAATTACCGTTTACTTATTAGATTCTAGCTGTTTGACATGTGCTCTGTCTATTAGTACCTATTTAGATCATATTTTTACTAGTATAAAACAATAAAAGGTACGTACTTATTAGTGAACACCGATATATAATATTTTACTAAAATATAATAGAAAACAGTAAACTGCTAATTTTTTCAATTATAAAGAGTATCTAATAAAATTTAGTAAAGTTTCTGAAAATAAATTCGAATCAATAACATCCTTATTTTTTATAAAAAAAAACGATATTTATGAATTAACACTTTAATTACCTACTATAATTTCGATCACTAAGTAATGCCAAAGGTAATGCTATATAAAATAATTAGTAGGTATATTATAAATAATAATGTACAGGATGTCCCAATATTCCGTGGACATAGAACTACTACATATTTTTGGAGTCAAAGTTCATTGAACACAATTTACCTCTATACAAAAGTGCTTCGTTTGTCCGTTAGGGGGCATCAAACTTTAAAAAAAACATATTTTTTAAGATACTTTAAGAACCAACACTCCGATTTGAATGAGATTTGGGGTGCCTATGTTTTGCTAAGCGCTTTAACCTCTGACTTTCTCAAAAAAAAATAAGAAAAAGTACCGGAAAGGTAAAAATTACCCCCACTCCTACAAAAAATTTAGTAGAATTTTCCGCCGACGACTGATTTTTTTCGTGCAAAAAATGGTCCTTGTTGTACCGTATTATCGAAAAAAACGGCGTCCAGTTGGCTTGAAAATGAACATCGATGACATTTCCCATATAATTTAACATATAAAATGACTGCGATCTTCATTTCATAGCTATCGCTGATGCCGTTTTTTTTCGATGATACGGTATTAACCACATATTTTTTTTTAAAACTCTGGATCAAGGAAAAGCACAATGTCCACTGGAGAAACAGACAGGGGCGCAGGCACAGCAAGGCTTTTATCCAAGAACCTAGCTCTAAAACCGCAAAAGAACTGCTAATGCTTAGCAGGAATAAAGTGCGGATTACAACAAGCCTCTTGACAGGACACATGGCTGTCATCTGAACAAACTCAACCTGTATCAAGGAAGTCTTTGCTGCAAACTCTGCGATAAAGATCCTGAAACAGCGGAGCACATAATATGTCATTGCGAGGCTCTGGATCGCAAGCGACACTTTTTATTTGGGAAAGCTAGGCTAGAATCGGAGGAACTATGCTCCCATCCTATCAAGGACCTGCATAAGCATATTTTGTCTCTTGTAAAAAATGTCATATCGCATAGTTTTTGAGAAAAAAGATTTCAGCATTTTAACTACCTACGTATTTTTTGAATTGAAATAAGTTAATTGTACAGAATTTATCTCTATACAAAAGTGCTTCGTTTGTCCGTTAGAGAGCATCAATCAAAAATAAATCCGAACTTACCCGAAATCCGAAAATTTACGAAGCTTATTGTCAAAAATTATTTGTGATACTAACATAACATTCCATATTTTCGCCAACTAGATTGCATGCAAAAATTTTATGCACCTACATGTACCAAGAAATATTTTTTGTAAGCCAGCTTCGGAAAAACATTTTTTTTCTTCGAAAAGTATGCGCGGTGGCGTTATTTTTTTCAAGAAGCAAAAAATGTAGTAAATACCAAAAGGACAAGTTTACGAAATAATAATCAGTCGTCTGTAGAGTTGGAAAATATTTCTACTTAAATGTATATAGGGATGGGGGTAGTTTTTACCTTTCCCGTACAGAGGCACCCCAAATCTCATTCAAACTTACTGTAATAAAGGTTCTTAAAATATCCCTAACGGACCCCCTAACGGACAAAGGAGGCACTTTTCTATAAAAAAATTGTGTCCATTGAACTTATTTTGATCTCAATTCTGTAGTAGTTCTATGTCCAGGGAATATTGCGACACCCTGTATATTGGTATGAGAATGTCCCATCGAGTTCTTAGATATATATATATATATATATATATATATATATATATATATATATATATATATATATATATATATATATATATATATATATGTATATATATATATATTTTATTTGGGTATAACCTATTACTGAAAGTACATACTCCGGAGTCGTTTCTGACATAATATATTAATAATACCGTATTAAATGACTGAACCAAAGGGGGGGGGGCTTGAGCCCCAAAGGCCCCCCTCTGTAGTTCCGCTCCTGGTATATTATATATTATATATCATTTGGAATATTAGTTTTTCATCCGACTGACAAATTTTAAAATAAAAGATTTTCTACTATACAGGGTCCGGCAATAGTGCGTCAGGCATCTGTAGCTCATACAATAAAAAACTTGAGAATTTTGTTTAAATGCAGATCTAAGTTCAATTTTGTTTAAGTGCAGATCTTTTGAGCCACCCTAACTTCTATAGGGTGGCTCAAAAACGTGTGAGTGGACCTGGATAATTTTTTTTAAATGGAACAACCTGTATATTATTGCATTTTTGGCTTCTCTTCAGATCACTTTACATAACCCTAAGATATGAATAAATATATTTCGATAGGTTCAGAGATATTCAAAAATAAATCAAAAATATATATTTTTCAGCCCTTCTTAAAAAAAATATTAAAAATACAGGAACTGTTCTGAAATCAAAACTATATTAGGTATTTACTTTAGATGGTCTGTACTTACTTTGCTATAAATATGAAAATCGTAAATCATACAGGATGTTCAAAATTCTACGCGAAACTTTCTAAAATATAAAATAATTTTTCATCGTTTTTTTAAATGGAACTGTATATTATTTTTTCAGTAGACGGACAATTAAAAAATGAACATTTTTTGTGTTTAGAGTATTTCAAAATTTTTAACGGTTTTGCAGATATTTGCGGTTTTATATTTCATATGGCATTTTCCACAGTAAATTTTTATCAAAGCCACCCAATGATTTTTCTCTCGTATTTTACTATTGAAAGCGCCATATGAAATAATACTGCGTGTATCCGGAAAACTGTTAAAAATTTTGAAATACTTTAAATTCAAAAAATGTTCATTTTTTAATGCTCCATCTAATAAAAAAATAATATACAGGATGTTCCATATAAAAAAAGCAAATAAAAATTATTTTATATTTTAGAAAGTTTGGCGTAGAATATTGAACATCCTGTATGATTTACGATTACCATATTTAGAGCAAAGTAAGAATAGACCATCTAAAGTAAATACCTAACATAGTTTTGATTTCAGAACAGTTCTTGTATTTTTAATAATTTTTTTTAAGAAGGACTGAAAAATATATATTTTTTATTTATTTATTAATATCTCTGAAACTATCGAAATATATTTATTCATATCTTAGGGTTATGTAAAGTGATCTGAAAGGAAGCCAAAAATGCAATAATATACATTAATTTAAAAAAAAATCATCCAGGTCCACTAACACTTTTTTGAGTCACCCTATAGAAGTTAAAATATTTTCCTGAAATACATCCTGGTAGATACTTTAGGTCTGCACTTAAACAAAATTCTCAAGTTTTTTATTCTAGGAGTTACAGATGCCCGACGCACTATTGCCGGACCCTGTATAACTGTCATTTTAGAACCCTTCTGTTTCTATATGTTTATTTTATACATAGAGCAGTTAACAAAATAAAAACTAAAATTCATTTTAATCCTACTAGCAACCTACACACTCTGCCTGGCGAATGTGCAATTTGGGATTGAGATATATTGAAATTTGGATTACTCTATCCCTATATAAACAATTAAATAACATTTTGTGTGTTTAAAAACACTTTTTTTTAAATCAACCAAGCCCTAGGGATTTTTAATATTTATTCATGTACACCCTTATGTATTAGAGTAATACGTGGTAATACTTTGAAATTTGTGTTTCTAAAGATGGTAAATTAAAGACAGTGGCAAAATTATACGATCAAACGAACTTACCTGAAGTGAAGTTCGATCGTAATTATATGAGGCGTCCAGTCCGAATGTATTATCTTGATTTTTCTATACGTAGTACCGTCCCTGCGTGCACAATTTTAAAGCTATAAGCTAAATTCTCCCGCTACCAGTCTAGGTGGCGGCGCCGGCCTGGCGCGGCGGTCGGTATTCATTTTCAAAGATTTATTCATTAATTCAAGCGACCATGGGGCAAAACGGGAGGGTGGGAAGATAATACATTGACTGGACGCCTCATATAATTACGATCGAAATTCACTTCAGGTAAGTTCGTTTGATCGTATAATTATATTCGCGTCCAGTCCGAATGTATTATCTTGATTTTTCTATACGTAGATGTTTAAAGAACTGATGGTTGCAAATTAATGAATGCGGTGCAGAAAGCATTTTTTTTGAGACAAAAATAGCTGAAATTATAAATATGTTTATTGAATGCAACCAAGATGAAACCAATTTAACGGCCATCAATACATGGATTTATTAAATTGTGACAATTTAACATATACATATATGCATACTAAGCAGAGACAGAAACCCATAAGATGACACTTCCATAAAGGATTCTGCCAAAATTGTTCAATTATACTTTATAAACCAGTTAACTCATCGTGTCGATAGAAATCCCTGTCTCAATGTAGAACTGCGTGGATAACTCGACTATAGTGTATATGTCTATTATATATATATATATATATATATATATATATATATATATATATATATAC